AACTCACGTATAGTAATAAATTTCTTCTTCCATTGGAAGTTTAATATAGGGTCCTAGTCCATGTAAACCGTATTTACCTTGGTTCCGTTTAGTTTCTATTGTGCAAGCGACTCCTCTCATAGTTCGTACTCATAAATTAGCCATATATTCTACGTGTGTCGTTGCAGCAACTCGTCCTGAAAGTGTCACAACTCTGCGTAATGGACTCAAATACGGACCGAAGGATCGAGCTTTCATGGTTCGCGCCGAGGTACAACATTCAGCATCCGACCAGAGCATTGGGCACTTTAGTGACGTGGCATTCGGTCATGACATTCCAACCTATCCCGTGGCCGTGTCAGTCCAAAGTCCAGGTGAGCTAGATACTAAACTTCATGTCACTTATGATTGGTAGGCCTGAGGCCTGTTCATGATAGACTAGGTAGGCTTGTTCATGATACATTCTGTCACTTGTGATTGGTAGTCATGTTCATGATACTTTCCTATGTCACTTGTGATTGGTTGGCCTGTTCATGATACACTTGGTAGGCTTGTTCATGGTACATTCTGTCACTTGTGATTGGTAGTCTTGTTCATGATACTTTCCTATGTCACTTGTGATTGGTTGGCCTGTTCATGATACACTTGGTAGGCTTGTTCATGATACATTGTCACTTGTGATTGGTAGTCTTGTTCATGATACTTTCCTATGTAACTTTTGATTGGTTAGACTGTTCATGATACAACTGGTTGGCTTGTTTATGATACATTCTGTCACTTGTGATGTGCAGTCTTGTTCATGATACTTTCCTATGTCACTTGTGATTGGTAGGCCTGAGGCCTGTTCATGATACACTTGGTAGGCTTGTTCATGATACATTCTGTCACTTGTGATTGGTTGGCCTGTTCATGATACATTCTGTCACTTGTGATTGGTTGGCCTGTTCATGATACACTGGTAGGCTTGTTCATGATACACTTGGTAGGCTTGTTCATGATACATTCCGTCACTTGTGATGTGCAGTCTTGTTTATGATACCTTCCTATGTCACTTGTGATTGGTAGTCATGTTCATATAACATCTATGTCACTTAATGTGAAGGCTTGTTTATGATACCTTCCTACGTCACTTGTGATTGGTAGGCTTGTTCATGGATCGTTTAAGGTGTACAATAGATGCTGTCTTCAGCAACATACATGTACCGTGGAAGGTAATGATTCCTGTGTTGTTAACAATCGCCGTAGGTAATATTTAATGTATGAACATGCAGACGAAGCTCTGTGCAGTTCAGCGTCTCTATACTTTTGTACCCACATAGCTGCACTATCAAGCCAGCACACCTGAGCGCTTGTTTTTCAGAAGCGAGTGTTGAGCGAACAATCGCAGGTGTGTGGCGTTAATGTTAGCGGGGGCGATTGGAAACCCGACTCGATATGTCTTAAAGTGATTTTGACATCAAAACCTCAAATCACCCGATGCGGCGTTATATACTTGATGGTCATCCATGGGTATAACTCGTCTAATATTCCTACACTATATGAAGAGATCATACAGTGTGGCCAGGCTGAACCTTTCATGTTGTATCTATAAGCGGCTCACAAGGGCATACTCACCACTGCGTGACCTATCACAATGGCTTGTCATAAGCACATAGGTGGTAGCATTATCACAAGCATGCCACTAATCCCAATCCAATCCAATCCAACGGACTATGTAGCGTGGCTTGACATGAACGTGCACGTACCCTCCGCATCCAAGCTGGTGAACCGTCTGTGGGTTCTGTACAGTCCGTGCACTTTGGTGACCTTCTCTGCACTGCCTGCCGTGAGTCACGGGGCACCGGCCAGCTCAGACACAGACACACACATGGTACAAGCACACGCCGACGACTGTCAATACCGTATTGCACACACATTAGGTGTGGGTGTGCATGCAAGACACCCCATTCACGAGCAGATTGAGCGGGTGACAGGCACCGCCACGCACACGCGTGTGTCTCCGGGTGTGCACACCGTTTCTCCAGAGGTGCGAGTTGGCATGTCTGTACCTGATAATGTATCTGCGCCTGTACAGCCAGGGGTAAGCGGTGCTAGTGTGCCGGTCGCGACTATACAGGCGGGTACAAACCGGTCCCATAGTAGCTCGCAAGAGGTCGAGGGGTCTGATGATATGAAAAGGCCATTGCAGAACACACATCAAGAAGCGCTGGCCGATATGGTATGCAATTGGTGGTGGGTATTTGAATACTGCTTTCATCCGCGTAGTATTGTGTGCATAGTCCGGTACAATGCACACATCGCTGCGCGAAGGCGCAGTTCCGATATCTCAGGGATTTGCCTTTCCTCGCCACTATTTTGGGTCAAACAGCCTTGATTGTATGCACAGTCTAGTCATGGGTACGTTCATCAATATTCGCACAACACAGCTCGCCAGAGTGCAGAAAGTCTTTCCGTCGCACGACCGAGAGGTTATAATGGGAGACCTACGAGAAACCATGAATGTGGATGCTACGATCGAAAATGTGATCACTGGGGCCTTACAATTCCCGCCCAACGCACCAACAAGTACCGAACCGACGGGTAAGCACGAGATGTCATATGACAGACACACGGGGAGTCAGCTGGGCACAAGCAGTGCCGCCACAGCTGCGGTGGATGACAGTAGGGGAGGGTACAATGGTTCCGAGAGCTCTACCAGCGTACACACACAAAACACTGTCACACAACCACACACACAGGATGTGGGAGCACACACGGCCCAGCGAACGGATGTGCAGCCGGGTGCGTGCGCTGTTCACTTGTTGGCGTCGCACACAGACAGACAGTTTAGTGACAAGATGCTGGCGGCGTATATCGATTGTGGCTCGGATATCCCTACGGCGTGGTCGTACGATGATTCACTGAGCAAAAAGAAGCTCGACCTCATCGTGGGTGCGAGGAAGTATGGCAGTTGGGGTTTTAGGGTTTTAGGGTTTTAGGGTTTTATTTGTGGACTGGTCGATGGACACGTTAAGCCTGACGTTTGTGTGGTGAAGGCGGATGAAATACAGTTGTGTGTAGCTTTGTTTTACGTGCTAGAAGTAGAGTGTGGATAGCTGGAGGAAGAGCCAACCGTATCCAGTCATTGTAAGTTGTGTTGTTGCGTTTCTGCATTAGGTGTGGACGGACCTATATGGTGCTCTTGTTTGGCTAGTTTGACCCAGCTCTGGTACAACACGTTTTCCTTTGTATCTCTCCGGAATTCCTGATTATTTTTTAGGAGCGAGGCAAGTGCAAACTAAGAGAGTATGCGGAACTGAAATGAGTAGCCTTGCGCATGTTTGTTACTTGTATGGCGCAAGTTAACATGTCTGAACCAAGTCATGGGGTACTACAGAGCGTGGCCGTTATCCCGTGTATTTGTTTTAGCACAGGCTAATAGATGCCAACATATATGCACACAGGCATACACACATATACATATATATACACAGACACAGACACAGTGACAGCCACATATACATATATATATACAGACACAGACACAGAGACAGCCAT